AAAAATTTATGAAAAAAAACAACTATTGAAATCTAAAGTAGGTTAATGGTGGTCTACCTAGTGTCGGACAATTTCCCTAACTGGCCCAACATACGAAATCAGGTCGAAAGCCCCCAAAACCAACTTTCTGTCTCTAAAATGATATTTTTCCTCTCCCTTTCTCTCTCTACTTTTCTCTAGTTGACAACAGACAAGGAAGTATGCATGGGAAAATGAAATACTTTAATGCCTTAAGATACTTATAATAAATCATTTTTTAAAAAAATAAAAAGAATATAATGGTAGTTTTAGAATTTGTTATATTATTAAATATATATTATATATAAATCTATTCATATCTAAAATATGTAACTCCAAAAACCATGAAAAAATAATTAATAAAAAAAATGTCTATAACACACTGAAGAAAAACGGTTTGTAAAACGAACGCCAGATGGTTCGAGAAAACCCACATGAATAAGACAAATCTAACAATAAACATTTTATTTTCTTACTTATAAAGCCCTTAAAACTAGGTAAAAATATGCTTAATATATAGTCAAATTTTCCCTACACAATCTGACAAAGATATTTAATAAATCGGGCATGAAAAAACTACTAAAAATTTGACTAATAAACTAAACTTAAAAAAAAAATTCAATAACATGAAATAAACACGTAAGACTTACCAGATCCAAAAATCAAGTCTCAACAAGTGTACTAGTATACTACAGTGGCAGTCGTTACAAAGACTGTGATGCAGATCTTGGAGGAAACAATTACGATGAACTAAAGGTAACTGTGATGCAGATCTTGGAGGAAACAATTACGATGAACTAAAGGTCATACAAGAGAATTAAAACACAAGTATTGCTAAAGACCACTATGATTTTTTGTTTTTGTTGAGTGTGTGGTGAAGATCTTAAGGGAGACAATTTCAATGCAGGTCTTACAACAGATTATTATGAGAGGTCAAGAAAGAAAGATGCAATGTAATTCATAAGGAAGGCATGTGCAGAGCAAGTCTTAAGAAAGACGGTTATGATGGAAATTTTGAGAGAGAATGTTGTGTTGCAAGTTTTGTAGGAAAAGATTATGGTGTGGGCCTTATTAGAGACAACTGCAACAACATAGATGAATCCAACACAAGTCCTACAAAAGACAATTGCAACATAAGTCTTAAGTGAGACAACTCTATGAAAAGTTCTGAGGGAGAAGGCAATGTCAAAAAACTTGCGAGAGACAGTTGTGCTATATAGTTCCTTCACATAAGGGTAGCTAATTGGAATTCTTGAAGAATCTGGATAGCCTTAGAAACTCGATAGATCACATAAAATGTACAAAATGGGGAGCTTTTATGAAAAATGAATGGTATAGATTGCATGCCCACCCAAAATATGATTAAGGAAGATGCTTCTAGGCTGACTTGATCAGCCCACCCAAACTAGAGCTAATTTGGAAGGCCAACAATGGTGGTTCAATAGAGGTCCAGCCATGGTCACAACAATATCATATCAAAGACAAGAATATACCATGTTGTTGAGTTGGATGTCATTAGTGCATGATAGTGAAAGATAACAAATTTTGATTTTCATCTTGGCAAGAATTATTCCAAGGACGCTGGTCACCTTATCAAAGAACGGTAGTGATTTCCCTGATAACAACACAACCCAATATTCCTAACAGCCCACCAGATGGCTAAGCCTCAGTTTCACCCCCAAATCATCACATGCACCTCTTCATCCTTCATGTGAATTGCCCCACTCCTCATTGTAATGGTGTAGTACAGTCCTCTCGTTATATAAACAACCCACTATGGCGTCCAATAGTGAATAGGAAAATATATTTGCCATTTTCTTGCTTTACGGCTAAGCCTCAGTTTCCTCCTACTTTAAGCTCTCAGTTCTCATACAGGACTTTAAATTTATTATGGTACAAAGTGATATCCTATATTTCCTCCCTCTCATCCCCCACTGACCCGCCACCACCCCTCACTATTGTTCCCCTCTCAGCCCTTCCCAAATTGCCACAAATCTAGACACCTCCCATACAATTAAAACACCCCATCTCCTCTGCTGCAACTCCTCCCTCGATAACCATTAGATTCTTCACCCCTGAACCCGCCTCCTCCGCTCCACCTAAACCCACCCCCATCACAAACCCCTCTCCCCCTCTCCATCCACTCACAGTTCCTCCACTCCTTCAAACCACCACCCACTTCAAATCTGCTCCAAATTAGGTTTTTTCAAACCTAAACACATATTCAAATTCACTAACATTCTACATGTCCACCAGATCCCAGCAACCATACAGGTGCTATCAAAGAAACTCATTGGCTCTAAGCTATGTTCCTTAAATTTAAGGCCCTCCAAACCGAGGGTACTAGAAAATTAGTCCCACCTTCTCCTGCTCAAAACCACCTCGGCTACAAATAGACAACCAAAACCAAATACAACAACAGCATCGATGTGTGGCACCAACTTCAACTTGTAGCTCAAGGCTTCAAGCAAAAACAAGGGATTGATTACATCGAGACCTTTAGCCCCGTGAACAAATTCCCTACCATCTACATTATGGTTACAATTGCCACCTCTCGCCAGTGGCCAATTTGGCAAATGGATGTCCCCCAATGCCTTCCTCCGTGGCAATTGTTCGCCACCTTCACTAGCCACCAACATCAACTCGGCTTCACTCCCAATTTTGTCAATCCCTCATTATTCCTATATCACGCCAAGCCATCCTATTCACGAGCAACAAACTCGTTGCCATGATCTCAGTAATTCAAAATCTTCAACATTAGTTCAAATATTGGACCCATCTCCATTTTTTTCGGATTGCAAGTTACAGCTACTGATAATGGAACTCATCTAAACCAAATAGGATATGATCAGCAAATCCTTGTAAAAGTGGGAAAGACGAGACAACAAAACAAACCCATGCATACAACACTCCCACTTTACGCACCCGATTTTTTGGACTCGCCGCCACCACCACTGATATCATCTAAACTCGATAGCAACTAAGGAAATAAGCATAGACATAACCTAACTCCACTTGTCTGCGACAACCCTAACTCTACCTTTCCTGTCACAATGCCTCTACAATTGCCTTCCCAAAAACCCAATATTTCATGCTCGCACCAATCATATTAAGGTGGATCATCACTTCATTCAATCATCCGTGATTGCATCAAAGCTCATGCCATTATGGTTCATCGCATCAACACTCAAGATCAACTTGTTGACTTGTTCAACAAGTCTCTCTCGTCCATTCGATGCTCAGCATTGTAAGAAGCTCACAATCCAAAGTAGCTCATTCAACAAGTGATCAAAGCACAGCCATAAACTTCTAAGACCAAATCATCACATGCACTTACCTCTCCTTCGTATGAATTGCCCACTCCATATTGTAAAGACCTAGTACAGTCCTCTCACTATATAATCAACCCAATGTAGCATCCAAAGATGAAAAAGAAAATATACCCACCATCCTAGCTTGTTTTGCAACTGAGCCTCTATTCCTTCCTACTTTGAGCTCTCAGTTATTTCAAAGAACAGAAAATTTAACAGTCTCATCATATTTGCATGGGTAAATTCCTTTCTTCTCATCAGGTTTGCACAAACAATTTGCTAAATAATGGCTCGTGAAGATTGCAGAGCCTCTCAGAACCACGAACCTCTTCCATCAGAATCACAAGATCTTTAATTTGATCAATTTAAATAAAAATGATAGCCAATTAATTTTTTAAATTTGTTTTAAGATATGTTCTCCACATCAAAATTAGAACATGGTCAGATAGGAAGTTCAATGATCCCAACATTCATAATTACTAAAGCCCTTGTTGCTTCAAACTCTTTGATGACTAAAATCTAAAATGAATTCTAAACTTGATAGTCGACAAGAAACTTTAGCCAAATCTGTTAATCAATCTTAAAACACATCATCAAATAATAAGAAATAACAATATTTTACAAGCCACCCTAAGGAAGAAAATAATAACAATGAAAAGTACAAAATGCTAAAGACACGTTACAAGTAGTACAAGTAGAACAGCAACGCTTCCGACCAGAGAAGCTGCCATTTTAGCCCAATTGATAAAGTAACGTAACCTCAAACTTTCTTGGGTAGGACAAATGGCAACCACTCATCAACAAACGATGGTAGACCACACGCAACCTTCCAAAAAAGACGGAAAGAAAAAGGGGACATTTACATGCATACCACCCAATTTTTATTTTTTTATATATCTAACACCTATACTTTGGTTTTTAAATTCATACCACTCAAATCAGTCAATCATATAAGAAAATAGCACCATGTAACTTTTATACAGCTTTTCATACGTAGGTAAGGTGGTAAGTATGTAAAAATTAAAGTTTAGGTGTTACATATGTAAATACAAAGGAATTTAATGGTATATATGTAAATCTTCCACAAAACAAAAAAAAGAAGACCAATGCCATAAGAAAAATCAATTTCTGCAGTGATAACGCTGCAAGACAAATCAGATCACTGATGACACGAACTAGCGTACTTGCAATGAAAAAAAAACAAAAGGGGTTGTTTGTTATCTCAGTTTGGATGGGATTTAAGCAATAATTATTTTAAATCACGTCAGATAAATTTTTAAGGCTCTAGATTCAACTATTTTTATAGATCTGATTTCAATCTATTTATTGATTAATTCACGCTAGCAAATTTCAAATCTTGGGAAAAATAGCCAACTATTTTATCAGAACTTAACAAAATTTATCGTGTGAAACAATTTTTAGATTTATTCAAAGTACAAATGATTTAAGAACTTTGTGGGCACAAAACCTTGAAATCTAAAATAAAAACACAATATTAGAATTAAGCAATCGTTCTGTCTAACAGTTTTAAGTCTTAATCTTCTGTATCTACCATCCGATTTGAGCCAATCCGGCAAACAACACCCAGAAATTTCCCTAACACACAACTCCGAAAAGCAAATCAGAAAATCAAAATAAAACGCAATTCAAGAGAAGGTAAGAGAAATGTACCTTGCCAGAGCTGCTACGCGATTCGGACATCAGTTGTCTCGAAGAGTTCGAAGTAGCTTTAATCGGCACCAACGAGTCGGAATCCAATCTAGAATTACCTCCAGAAACAGCCAACGAGGCTTCAACATCTCCGTCCCATGTTTCCGATTTCTTCCCTATTTCCGTCCTAGGGTTTTCCTCCTCATCCTGAACCCTCGGCACGAAAACGCAAATGTTCATCCCCATGGCTTCCTTCGCCTTCTTCCACAAGCTCCCCATTTCCCTCCACCGCACCCGCACGCTCGGCGCAGTATTCCCCTTCAAATCTACTTTCTCTTCACCTAGATCGTTGTTCCGGGGTCTTTATTCGCGTGGTAAAATCGCAAGGAGAGAGAGAGACAGGAAGCCGGGTCAGAACTGAATGCCATTGATTTTCTCTCTGCGAGCCACCATTAGAGAGAGAAATAGCAATATCTTCTCTGGTAGAGTAGACCTTATCATCCTCTCTCTCTCTCTCTCTCTCTCTCTCTCTCTCTCTCTCTCTCTCTCTCTCTCTCTCTCTCTCTCTCTCTCTCTCTCTCTCTCTCTCTCTCTCTCCCGCGCTGGTTTTGACCCAGTGGGAGGAGCAGCTTTTTGCGAAATTGGAAGTTCGAGAATTGACAACTGCGTTACATTATTGCCCTTGCAGCTTTTTTCATTCTAGAGATTCGACTGCAGTGTTCCCGGTAAAAACACGTGGTGGTCGTTTGGTAATTTCACCAATGTGTTGAGGGTAGCATAGGATTGAGTTGGAATGGAGTTGGTAGGTGAGCGCATGAGGAGGCGGCGGCGTTGATAGGGGGTGGACTTTTAAGGTAAAAGCGACTTTTATTTTCTTTATTATTTACATAAATAGCACCCGCAAGGTTGCTCGACATAAAATCTTAGTATTGAAGTATAATGAAAGTGGTAAAAACATAAAATCCCCCAACATCAAAAGAACATATGTAGTATCCCAAATACCAGTTAGAATGAAAAATAATGCGGCCTAAAATATTTAGCAAGCATTAGAACCCTAATTCTCCTGTTATCACGCCATTGATTTCTATCCAGAAATGCAATTATTCTTTCTTTTTCCTCTTGCGCTCATTTGTCGCATCTCCAATCTGCTCGATCCCACTGCCTCTCCGTGTTATAAGACTCAAGCTTGGGCTAGGGCACGACCAACTGCTCATCTCTCCCTCCTCATTCTTGCTGTTGTATCTGAAACTCTTGGGATACAACTACGATTGGAGCTAGCAGAGAAGGCAATAAAGGGATAGAGACTTACCTTTCTTCTCCTCATTATGTTCGCACCTACCTGCAGCCACTGTGGAAGGTAACCCTGGACTTCTTGCTCTTGCTCCCTGCCACTTTCATTCACTATGGTTCCATTTTATTAGGCTATGGTTTTGTCCTCATAAAATTTCTAAGCTCATGTTTCCATGAAGGGATAAGCAATTGTTAACGAAAATACTTGAAGATACCGAGGAAAACTCAGTAGTATCCTAGACTATTCTATTGTTTAGTTTTTTGTCAAATTTTTAATAAAGATTTAAATTTTTCATCCTAATGTTTTATTAAGATATTAGGACTTATACTGCACTGCATAGGATCATGCAGGAGCCAGAGGATTTACTTTGTAACTAGGCAAACAACCTCAGAGTCCTAACGTGAAGTTTATCGAGATAAGTGAAGCTTCAGAGCCCTAATTTAAAAAAAGGTAGAACATGCAATGTAATGGACTTACAACCCTGCCTAAAAAATGCTTGTTATCTAAACCACCTAATTGCATTCAAAACCATGTATGGTAGGTCTCGATGCAAGAGAGGGTAGGTCATTGTTTATTAGGAGTTGTAGGCCTTACGACTTGATTAGAAATCAAGCAACCAAAATATGTATGTTGTGCATGTTATCTTGTGACTAATGTGAACATCTTTTAAAATTTCAAATTTAAATATTTTATACCTCATCACACTCACATGTTTAGTTTTAATTAGTGTTGAGTGCATCGAAGCAAGTTGTGCAATTGGTTATGCAAGTCTTTGATGACGAATTCATATAAATTGTTTTTAAAAACCCAATCGGTATGCATAAGCAAAACTCGGTCTATATGGCAGTGGTTCTCACGGGTCAAACCACCCATTTTTGTGCAATGAGTGAGGGTCTGTAAGCAAGGAATATGAGCAATATATTATGCATTGTCGGCACTATTTTTGGTGTGGGGTTT